CCATTTACACGGATCACAAGAGCTTGAGGTACCTCATGGATCAGCCGAATCTGAACATGAGGCAGAGGTGATGGTTAGATGTGTTGAAGGATTACGACTGTGAGATCCTTTATCACCCAGGGAAAGCCAACGTAGTGGCCGACGCCTTGAGCTGCAAGGCAGTAGCGGCCCCGATCAGATACATTTGTTTGAGGATGATGGTGATTGCTCCATTATTGGAGAAAATTAAGGAGGCACAGGTAGAGGGCCTCAAGGAGGAGAGACAGAAGTGTGAGAGGATCGTGGGTCGAGTAGCTTCTTTTGACTATGATAGTAGAGGATTGTTGACCCTTCACGGGAGAGTTTGGGTGCCGTACTGGGGCGGAGTACGACAAGTGTTGATGGATGAAGCCCATAAGTCTCGATTTTCCATTCATCCAGGGGCTACAAAGATGTATAGAGATCCTTGACCCTATTATTGGTGGCCATGCATGAAGCGGGATGTCGCCTGGTATGTGGAGAAGTGCCTAACCTGTAGGAAGGTTAAGGCAGAACACCAGAGACCTCACGGCAAGATGCAACCGTTAGACATTCTGGTGTCGAAATGGGAAGACATTACCATGGATTTCATCATGAAGCTTCCCAGGACTACGCGTGGAGTGGATTCTATATGGGTTATTGTGGATCGGTTGACGAAGAGTGCTCATTTTATACCGATCCAGGAGAGCATATCAGTAGAAAAGTTAGTTGATATTTATGTGATGGAGGTGGTGGCACGTCATGGAGTGCCTGTTTCAGTGGTGTCAGATCGAGATGTCCGTTTTACTTCCAGATTCTGGAAGCGGTTTCACGACGAGATGGGTACTCATCTCCATTTTAGCACCGCTTTCAATCCTCTGATGGACGGACAGAGCGAGAGAACGATTCAGACCCTCGAGGACATGCTGCGGGCATGTGTTCTAGAATTTGGTGGCAGTTGGGATACGTACCTTTCGTTAGCGGAATTTTCGTATAACAACAGTTACCACACAAGTATCGATCGACCACCTTTCAAAATGCTCTCTGGGAGAAAGTACAGGACCCCGATTTGTTGGGGTGAGGTCGGTCAGCGAGTCATTGGATGCACCGAGGTGGTGCTCAAGACGACATAATTGATCCAGCAGGTTCGTAGCAGACTGCATACTGCACAGAGTCGACAGAAGAGTTATGCTGATAGGAGGCATTCAGATTTGGAGTTCCAGGTGGGCGATATGGTCCTCCTGAAGGTATCACCCTGGAAGGGTGTTATTAGGTTTTGGAAGAGGGCAAGTTGGGCCCCAGGTTCATTGGTCCTTTTAGGGTTTTGGCCCGAGTGGGTCGGGTTGCTTATCGGTTAGATCTTCCGTCAGAGCTTAGCCAAATCCACAACACTTTCCATTTTTCTCAGTTGAGGAAGTGTTTGGTGGACGAGTCGGCATTAGTGCCCATTGAGGATATTCAGGTTGATAGCAGCCTGAATTATGTCGAGAAGCCAGTTGCGATCTTGGATCGGAAGGTGAAGACCTTGAGGAACAAGGTGATTCAGTTGGTAAAGGTACAGTGGCAGCACCGGAAGGGTTCTGAGTGGACGTGGGAGTCTGAGGAGGAGATGCGGGGGCATTACCCCGAGTTGTCCCTAGATTCAGCGGCAACAAACTTCGAGGGCAAAGTCTGAGACAAGTGAGGGTGGGTTGTAACACCCCAATTCTGGTATGATATTTATATTTTTATTTATTGTTATTTTTCTTCAAGTTTTAAAGGGAACTCGGCAAGTCGGTAGCTGGACTCGTCGAGTAGAGTCGCGATTTCGAGCACGTTTAAGTTGGCAACTCTGCGAGTCCATATTCCGGACTCGGCGAGTCAGCCAATCTGGATAAAACCTTAATTTGAAGGGTTTGCACCCTATTTAAACAACTTTTGAGGCCACAAGTCAGCCCCCATCACCCCTCAGAGCATTATTCTCGAAACCCTAGAACCCTCTTTGCATTTTGTGTGATTTTGGTGTGTTCTTTGAAGATCTTGAGAGATAAAGGAAGGTAGATCAAGAGGAGAAGAAGGAGATCCTAGATCCTTGAGGAATTTCAGGAGATAGTAAGGTATATCTTGGCCCTTTTCTGTTTCTATGCTTAAATCCCCTTTTTGAAGCCATTAAAGCTATTCTTAAACCATTTCTTGGCTTAGTAGTATCATAGAGGACTCATGGAGTTGATTCGCCTTCGGATCTAGCTAGGTTTGAATTCTAGAAGCTTAGATCTAGCACCTTTATGGATCTATTTTGCATGGAAGCTCTAGATCTACTATTATAGTGTTCTTTGAACCTTAAAACCTTCCTTTGATGTTATTTACACGTAAAGTTGGAAACTTTAATTGTTAATCAAATCTCAGGAACCCAGATCTATTAATGGTATGGACTGGTTTCAAGCAGAATCGAGTATATAGTGTTTGCATGCATACGAATCGGCGAGTCGAGTCGCGAGTCCCCTGTGTTTCCTTTTTCGAGTTATGCCGAGTGGAACCAGTGAGTGAGAGATGGACTCGGTGAGCTAGAGGGTTAGACTCATTCGTGGATGAACTCGGCGAGTCAATGCCCTGACTCGGCGAGTCCAAGGCAATCTTCATACTTCAAGAACAGACTCGACGAGTTGTTCATACAACTTGACGAGACACAGCTAGAATGATCATCTGATGAAGGAGAACTCGACAAGTTGTTCATACAACTGGGCGAGTCGGATGCAGATCGTTAGAGTGTTAGTAGCAAAGAGGAACTCACCGAGTTTGCGCCAAAACTCGACGAGTAGTAGCGAGTGGAATCATGAAAGTAAGAGTAAGAACTCGACGAGTTGACGACCCAACTCGACGAGTCAGGTCAACTGAATGTTGACTTTGACAGTTAAGTTGACTTGGACCAGGGGTAGGAGAGTTATTTTACCCTCAGTATTATTATCAGTATTTGATTGATGGTGCTCATGGATATTGTAGCCGGGGTGAAACCATAGCTGCAGCAGATAGATTCTGGAGCAGTTGTTTCAGCAGCTAGGCTACGTGGTGAGTTTCCTTCCAGTAGGAATGGGTCTAAGGCCACAATGCAGGCCCGTTTAGTTAGTAGTAGTTTCCGGACTTTGATCCGATGTCGTTTTTAGTGTGTTTGATGCCTTCGTGGCTCAGACGGGATTTATGTGTTATGTGTTCTGGGCTACGGCCTGACGTAGTATGCAATATATGAGTTTATGATGATGTGTGTTATGCTAGTTGTTATGTGTTTATGCTATGCTGTGATCAGTAAATTCCGGACTTCGGTCCGATGCAGTCAGTTCCGGACTTCGGTCCGATGCAGCTAGTTTCGAACATCGGTCTGATGCAGGGGACAAGGTCCCAGTCAGTTCCGGACTACGATCTGATGCAATTTCCGGGCTTCGGTCCGATGCAGTGGGCAAGCCCCAGTACGTGCTTATATGTTTTTGTATGGTATGTGGTAGTTTGGGGGAGCTCACTAAGCTTCGTGCTTACAGTTTCAGTTTTTGTTTCAGGTACTTCCGTAAGTAAGGAGAAGAGCTCGGGATGATGGCATCGCACACACCACAACTTCAGTCTTTATCCTGGGAGTTTTTTTTGATTCATAGTTTGATTTGATACAGTTGTTTCACGACATTTTATTATGAGTCGAGATATTTAACGTATGGTTTTTTCGATATGACGATCAGTATATTATTTTTATTACTATAAAAAAATTGTATCGTATTTTAGGATGTTACACCCTGAGTTTCAAAAATGATGAATTCAACTACTTATGGGACCAATTATGAATAAAATTTTAACCATAGAGACCCCATTCGTGTAATTTAGAACAACTGGTTAACGGGTGAATGATTAAAAACTAACGATAATGGTTCAATTGATATACAATAAAAATTAGATGACTTATTGTGCAAAAAAATAACATAAATGGTAAAATCGGACCAAACCCAAAACATCATTATGTTACAGTGACATTATTCCTCCTTACATTAAAAAAAAATCTCACATACATAAACAATAATCAAGCGACTAAAAGTTTTGGAAACTAAATAAATAAAAAGTAATTTTATTTAGGCAAACAAACCAAACCCAACTAACCCGAAAACAAGAATCTCATGCGGTTCGGGTTTGTAGGCAATTTGGGTGTTAACTTCACACCAAAAGAACCTGAACCATTGTGCCAAAAAGTGAACGATGCCCGGCCCTAATGGGTTAAATCTTTTTCCAGGAACTAGTTATCTTTTCTAAAGAAGAATATCTACTTTAGGATGTTCAAAACAACTCGAGTAGCGACTCACAATTAAGACCGGAGCAGTTCCATGATTCATATCCATATGATACTCATTTATTATAAATAATTAATTAGCATATAGCCCGTACGAACCACAATTACAAAACTAATTAATTTTTTATAGTAAAAACTTATCATTATTAATCAGTTATTTTCAATAAATTATTAATTAAACATGATTTTGTAGGATTTTCAATATAGAATTATAATTAATTATCGGCAATTATAACTGAAACTTATTCAAAACAAATTTAAATTTCTCCTAAAAATCAGCGATCAAAAAAATATTGTGTAACTTATTATCATTATCAATACTTTTTAAAATATAAAAAATAGTGAGAAAATGATAAGTGTCATTTTTGTAGAATATTTTTTTATTTGAAAAAAGAATATAAATTATGAGAAAATGACAAGTAACACTTATATTCATTTATTAATACAGAAATAAAATATATTGTTAGACTTGATCACTAGTTGACATATATTTTTCAAGAAATTATATTTAGTATAGTGGCCATGTTGGAAATGAGGACGAACATGAAATGATTTTCACCATTTAGAGAGAATCAGAAAAAGAAACTTGGCCTTACATGAGTCAACTATTGCATGGAATTGAGTTCTTAAAACCTCCTCACATTTTGAATCACATGTTTATATCACTTGTTCATTTTCATAGGTTATCGTGTGTTCATTAGCGATGAGGGCACAGTGGATCTGTAGCTTTTTCTTTGCCTTCTTTCTCATCTTCTCATCCAACACAGATTTTCATAGTTGCTCACAAAAAACTAATCCACCCGTTCTTCCTAATCCGTACTTCCGCATTCCTTCCCCCCTCATGCCTGTTAGTGGCCCTGTTATATATGTACGTTATCCACCCAATACTCTTCAACCGTTACCTAAAGCAAATCTTTCAACCACATGGACCAACGATGAGTCTTCTATCCCTTCCATTAACTTCACAGATGGCTCAAGGATCAGAGTCATCCTTGATAAAGAAAAATTCGCTTGTGGCTTCTTCTGTAACGGAAACTGCACATCTTACCTCTTCGCCATTGTCATCAAGATATCTTACTCTCCTGGTTATATTTTTGGCACAAAAGGCAATCCAACAGTCATTTGGTCACCCAACCGAGACAATTCAGTCAAGGAAGGTGCAATACTGAATCTCACTGCAGCTGGAGAATTGGCGTTACATGATGTGGATGGAAGCATAGTTTGGACTACAAACACTGTAGGGAAATCTACTGCTGGCATGAACCTAACTGATGAAGGAAATCTGATGTTGTTTGATGGCGATAACTCCATGGTTTGGCAATCTTTTGATCACCCAACAGACTGTTTGGTAGCTGGACAAAAACTATTGCAAGGACAGAAGCTGATACCTAGTGTTTCCTCAACCAATTGGATGGCTCAAAAAGATTCTTACTATCTTCAACTCACTGATAACGGTCTGTTTGCTTATGTCGAATCAAACCCACCTCAAATCTATTACAAACGCTTGATAAATGTCACAAATACAAATAAAGAAAGGATTTATGCTGAGCTCTTAAACGGGAGTTTGTGTTTCTTCAATTCTTCTACTAAGCTTGATAGTATTGATATACCCCAAGAAATCCCACTTGAATATACAAAACTAATGCCAGATGGGCACTTGAAAGCCTTTGGAGGGGAGATGGTGGCTGATTTGCTAACTGAATATGATTTTGGAGATTGTTCTTATCCGTTGGCTTGTGGGAGAAATGGCATTTGCTGGGGTGATGTACAATGTAGTTGTCCGAAGTCATCAAGCTCTCCGGTGACAGAATATTTTAGAGCAGTGGATAACAGCCAACCAAACAAGGGTTGCTCTCAAGTTACTCCTCTCACATGTAATGCTACACAAGATCAACATTTCATTGAACTCAAGAACATCAAGTACTTCACCTATACAGCTAACATGGAGCATGTGGATATGGAGACTTGTAAACAAGCGTGTCTGAACAACTGCTCATGCAAAGCAGCTATATTCGAGTACTTCGGTTCGAATTCTTCAAGTGGGTATTGTGATTTACCTTCTGAGCTTTTTACTATGACCAACTTTGATGTAGATGCAAACAATCAAGTCCATGCTTCCGCTTTTATAAAAGTCCAGAATGGAAGATATAAATCACCAAAGAGAAAAAATCATGTTACGACGATTCTAGGTTCCATAGTTGGAAGTTTGGTGCTTCTTGTCGTTGTGGTTGTAGTTATTACTAAGTTCATAGGCCAAAAGGAAGAGGTGGATGGTGAAATGGAAGAAGAGTATCTGGATAAAGTTCCAGGAATGCCTACTCGGTTTTCCTATGAAGAACTAAAAACAGCCACAGAAAATTTCAGCAAAAAGCTTGGTGAAGGAGGATTTGGATCCGTTTTCGAAGGTTCTCTCGAAGTTGACTCAAAGATTGCAGTAAAATGTCTTCATGGTCTTGGTCTCATGCAGGTAGACTGGAATGAGGTTAGGAAATCATTCATGGCAGAGGTTGAGTCCATTGGCAGCATTCACCATGTGAATCTAGTTCAACTTAGAGGATTTTGTGCTTGGAAATCAGAGCGGTTTCTCGTCTATGAATTCATGAGTAATGGATCACTAGATGGATGGATCTACAATGGAGACAGAAAGAACGTACTCAAGTGGGAATGCAGAAAGAAGATTATTCTTGATATTGCTAAAGGTTTAGCATATCTTCATGAAGAATGTCGGCAAAAAATCATTCACCTCGATATTAAACCTCAAAACATACTCCTAGACAGCGATTTCAATGCAAAAGTATCCGATTTTGGGTTGTCTAAGCTCATGGATAGAAATCAAAGCTGCCAAGTGATGAGCACAGTGAGAGGAACTTTTGGCTATATGGCTCCAGAATGCTTCGACTCAATTATCACCGAAAAGGCAGATGTATATAGCTTTGGGATCGTTCTTTTGGAGATCTTATGTGGGAGGAAAAATCTCGATATATCTCAGCCAAAAGAAAGTCAACACTTGCTGGGTATCTTTCAAAGGTGTTGGGAACAAGGGACTTTGTTACATATAGTTGACAGGTACAGTAAAGATATGCAGGAACATGGTACAGAAGTCGTGGAGATGATGAATGTGGTTTCATGGTGTTTGCAGATTGATTATACGAAAAGGCCCTCAATGTCATCGGTGGTTAAGGTGATAGAGGGAGTAATGGATGTTGAATCGAACTTGGATTACAGCTTCTTGTGGACCATTTCTATGCAGAAAATAACAGATGGATATGAGAAAAGATCGAAACCAATGTCAGCTTCCATTCTATCAGGGCCGAGGTGAGGTGAGGTGCACTGAGGTTCTAGTGGACCATTTCTATGCATCTTTCTAAGGCTTATGTCTTCTTTTTCTTCAAGAACCATTAAATTTCAAGTTACGACTGAATTTTCTTCCCCAATGAAGAAATGGATTTCCATCTTTTTATGTTTTGTCTAGGGTTATTCGTCAATAGGTAGTAGGTGTAATCACTAGGTGATATTAACTTCTAAATGATTGTGTTAGAGCTTGGGCTCAGGTCGTTATAGTTTGTATATTTTGTAATCGCCATAAATTTAAGCTGGACGGGTTAATGTCTGAAAATTACTTTTATAAAGCTCAACCCAAGAAAACATAGAAATATTATCAACCTAATATATTAGTTATAAATTATTTATTCTTGTATATATTTAAGATAGTAAGCATTGACGGATCCACAAAGAAATATCAGGAGTTGCACAAAATTTTTCAAGGCTTTCACCACTAAAAAAGTTCGTTTCCGAAGGAAGTTTCCATTAGAAAATCATCACTAAACCAACGAATTTACACTAAATTCCCAATTATCAAACTTTGCTATGGATTGCCAACGGATCTGTGATGGATTTCCAACGGATTTTTGATGGATTTTCTAAAAAGATCACTAAATTTACATTTGACTGAAAATTTTGAGGGGTAGTACCCCAAGCTACATAGTAGCTTGGCCCCTTATGTAAGGTTTATTCCACAAAAACCACTAGATATACAACATCGTTCAGTTTTAGCCTCAACTTTATTTTTTGTTTCTCATTTGTCATTGTATTTTAGAAAACGTTTTATATTTGGGTTGTTGGCCGGTCACCAACAGGTCATGATGACGTGTCGGTTTCGTATTTTTCAAAGTTTGCATTTAGCCCCAACATTTAAGTATGTGTTGGCATTTAGCCCCCCCCCCCCCCCCCCCCCCCCCATTTTTTTGTTCCTTATTTGCCTTTTTAAAAACAATCCTTTTAGCCATTGGTCAGTCATGAATAGATATTTTAAAATGTAATAACTTAAAATGTAAAAGGGAAATACAAAGGAAATAGTCGAAACTGCGATTTCTCCTTGAGTGGTGGGGCGTGTTAGCTACTAAGTCAATGACTCACTTTTTTGTATTATCAATGTTTGTATTTAATGTACATATGTATTTTAAAATGATAGAAAAAAACCTAGTGTAAGTAATGAGTTCGTGACATCTAATAAACAATATGACATTTTAATCTTTTAGCTAATCAAAATTATTAATTTCATAACTCATCTAAGAAACAATTGGATATTTATAATGACGTATTTGTTGAGAAACCAAATATTTCTAAAGAGTCAAATCTGAGACGTCTCACAGAGGAGCGGGCCGTGTTAGCTATTAAGCTAATGGCTCCTTTTTTTGTATAACCAATGTTGTATTTAATGTAGACATGAGTTTGAAAATGAAGGAAAAAGACCTAGTGTAAGTCTTGAGTTTGTGACATCAAAATTGAGACTTCTCCAGGAGGGACGAGCCATGAATTCTAGCTTTCTTTATGACTTTTGCATTGATGTTTTTGGTTAGGCCCATTCGCATGCATGTAGGGCTAGGCTCATTTGTGTGAGTGGGTTGGGCCTGTTATATGTTGGGCTAGGCCCATTGTATGTTGGGCTAGGCATATTGTATGTCGGGCTAGGCCTATTTGTATGTTGGGTTGGGCCTATTGATTAGGAAGGATTGGGCCCATTATTATGAGATGGGCCCAATATGCAAGCTAGTCCCGATGATATGTATGGTATTGGTATATTAGGGAACTCACTAAGTTTGGTGCTTATGGTTTCATGTGTATGGTTTCAGGTACTTTCGATTCCAAAGGGAAGGGCCTGACGTGACTGCATAGCATCCCCTCAGTGTTTATTCAGCATCGGCTACTTGTGATTTGTACTCTGATGTTCAAATATTATATTTCATCTTTAATGTTTTGGTTGTATGGGTTTTGTCTTAAAAAATGAAAATGTTACTATGAATTTTTGGGACATTACATTGATCTTCCCATTGTTGATGACAACTTCGATGGTAGAGGGAGTGAGGGTAGTCATTCACAAAATCAGAAAGAGGATGAGGAGGAATCAAAGTCTTCAATCAGAGTTCATGATTCATATGATGACAATACGAGTGAGCAAACTCCAAATGTTACCACCGTCCCTGTTACTATTTCTAGGAGCGATGATGAATTTGAATGTGAAGAGCAACCCTTAGTTCGTCGTATGAGGGGTATGGATCTAATTACTTCTGCAACGCTTATGGTTGGTTTGTCTTGTGGCAAGGGTAGTAGTGATAGAATTATGAAGAGGTCACGTTCCTTACATCTTGGTGATTTTCGATGCTTTTCTGATAGCCTTGGTGTGGGCCAGCCTTCCATTTTCATCGCTCAACTAAAAGAGAAAATCCCCCCTCGTGATGCTAATGTCCCTCATCCCTCTAGTCCTATCTTTGTTCCATCTTGGGAATACATAAAGGATCAATGCTTAATGGAGCGCAAGGTATCTATGTCATTAATTTAAAATTTTTCTTCCCTTGGCACCCGGTTGAGTTTTGGTTAGGGTGTCACACCCCACTAAAGCGGAAACACGATGTGCAACAGTACAAAGGGTCTCATTGTAAAAGCTAAAAGACAGCACCAACCATAGTGTTAAAAAGCTTTACAATTTACAATAAGTTTTGAACAATGGTAAAAAGAATTACATTACAATAAAAAAAAACAACACATGCAAATGCTCCTACCAGTGATGTGTCCCTACGTGCCACTTACTCGATGATTCCTGAAAAAGCATGTAAAATGAGCGGCCAACTACCGAAATAGCTGTTGAGTTCACAATTTTATATTATAACATCATTGTAAAATCATGGATGTCCAACATATTGATAAACGATTCCATAACAAAAGTACGTTGCTAACATCAACAATAAAGTTTTTTGCTAAAATGATGTAATAAAGTTCGTTGTTAAAATGAGTATAAAGTTTGTATAAATAGTAGTTCGTTGGCAACATGAGAACCAAAGTCCATTACCATCATGAGAAACAAGTTCGATGCTAACATAAAAAATAAACTCGGTTACCATCATGAGATATAAAGCTCGATGCTATCATGAGAAACCAATTCCATACGTACATAATAAACAAACCATGTGTTCACAATGCAAGCCTAAAGACCGACGAGTGGCCTATAGTGATCTATGTGTATCGCTCACATAGATAGAAATAGTAAAATGTGATTTACAACTTGTTATCAAAAGGATTTTCTATATTTTCAAATTACCATGCCAATACAGTTCTTTTAAATGTTTATCAAACTTATTTTCATGTTTAATTGTTCTAAAAACTATTTTCCAATGCTTTCAAAATTGTTCGTTTTCAAATCATAACTACACCAATATATTTATATAAGTAAGGATTGAAGGACTTAGAACTGATAGCTCGCCTTATTTCCTGTTCTTGTTTGATTGTGGACTTAGGGTATTCTGTTATCTATCCGACTGTCGTTGAATTCTTAGTTATATATCATATATATTTGTGTAGGATATAAAAGTCTCCGCTTCATTTCAACACCTTTGTGTATCAAAGGCATTCAACTAACATAACTATTTAACTATAATAGGTATAGTTAAAGGTTTCCACAGATTACTATTGCTACTATGATACTCACTATGGTCAGTACAGTTACGAGTGTATACGTACTATAGACTATACGAAGAGAACACTAAACGCTATACGAAGAGAACACTAAACACTATACGAAGAGAACATTAAACACTTTACAAAGAGAACACTATATACTACATGAAGAGAATACTATATACTATACGAGAAAATATACTAAAGTAGAATGTGATGCACTACTTCTCGATACGACAGTTCGCTATGCGATCGTCGTGTAACCAGAGCTTCCTGGAGGGAGAGCGAACACTCTGTGTATAGATCTATACGAGACGGACACTCCCACATCTCGACTACTAGCTACAGTCCGAGCCGACTAGGCCCAGGGATGACAAAACATCACTACGCTACATGTGACCTTGAGGGTCAACTATTATACTACTATCACTCAGCATGGTTACATACGAATTCACATTCAGACCTTAATTAACATATTAAGAATTAAAGGTAAAACAGACTTTCTGGGGTGTGTACACATTTAATACTATCTTGAGTTTACATCTCTACTACATCTAGTCGGAAGTGACACTGCTGGGGTAAAACTCTATTCTTCCAATTTCTTTTTACGAATGAAATTTAAAACTATATTTTCACACTGACATTTTCACTGCGAAAACTCTTACATTTTCAAAGAATCAAACCTACAAATACCTGAGTCTTGGTAAAAGACTACTTTTGCTGGAAAATATAGGACTTTCTAGGATCAAAACTTGATAACAATTGTTGTATTACTTGGGTTTAAACACTTTTATACAAGCAATGACACTAAATACTTATGAACTCACCAACTTTATGTTGATACTCGTTTTCAAAATAACTTGTATTCTCAGGTCATCAGTAGGTAGGTACAGATGTAGCTTTTGAATAGATGGAGTATATATATACAAGACTCATCTTTTATTTTGATTATACTTTTGGTGTCTATCTTTACAGAACATGTTTGTATTACAATTATTATACTAATGCAATGGATTTTGTTACTTGTCCTTACTATTATCGATTGTTATGATACTGTACATGACGTCCTCCACCCCAGAACGTATTCCACCATTCTTGGTTTTGGGGTGTGACAGATTGGTATCAGAGCATTATTTATAGTGAATCAAGCATATTAACCCATAAAAGATATACGAACTATAAAAACTTCGGGATTAAAACAATCTGACTAAGAATATATACTTTTAAGTAATAAAAGATTTAACTAAGTATATATAAACATCCACTCGATACACAGGGTCAGTATCATACTAGAACATAACAAAAGTATTAAAATTGTTGAACAGCACAATTAGGCTTAGAGACATATAGTCAAATTTGGGTGGATGTAGCCTGATCAACTACATCTTCCTAGGAGTGGCTAGCATGTGCCTAAGGATGGTTGTGGTGTTGCAACAAGTCTAAAAACTTACCGACTCTACTACAAGAACATTAGAACAAGAATACTATAGGAGTATTTCGTGAGAACTAAAAAGGTCGTTACTAGTAGTGCAATAGTTGCTAAGTGGATACTCTACGGTTACATGTGACTAAGATGTTATAGACTTAGAATCTATGATCTTTGCTTTACTTCATGTTCCTTGTTTGGTTGTGGATTTAGAGTTAGGATCACTTATTCGAAGGTTTATCTTGTTTCGGTCGCATGTAATTAGTATGCACTATGCAAGTATTGGTCTGACTAATAACGATCCTTTTATAAGTATCTTAAATTAGTACGTCTAATTAACTATTCTTTCCCTTTTCTCGCATAGATATCATGGCCGGATTTCATCATGGTGACCCGTACTTCCCAAATCACGGCAATGCGGGATGGCTAGAAGAAGAGCCCAACGAGGAACATCAAATCCCTTTGGATGACCACCAAGCAGAAGGCTTCTCGGATGGGTCTGACTCCGAACCCGAAGTCAACAACCTACCCCCTTGTGGCCTCAGTCCCAAACCCTAACCCCCGCCAGGCCTTCCAAGGCCCGACGCCTGCATGGGTGGAATGCATAGAGACGTGGAGTGAAGAGGAAAATCAACCCATGCCATTCAATGGAGACCAAAGCTTTTATGACACGAGCGAAGGAGGTTCGGCATACAGAGTCTTGCCCATCCTAGTCCGAAGAGTTGCACGCAATGAAATCCAAGGCAGGACAGCCCTCCAACGTATCGCAGAGGTTGATACAAATGGAGGACTACACTCCCTTCGCACCAGCCGCCTGGAGCATGCTAGGGAGAGGTCTGTAGTAGATCACAAGGCTTTGCTTCGGGCATTAGCTGAGACTCGGGTTGAAGTCATAGAGCTCCGGGTTTGCCAGAGGGTCTACGAACGACACCTCCTTGACATGGAACGTCAACTGGCCGACCTTAGATTTCGCCCGAGAAACATCCGTTGCCGCCGTTAAAACATGACTAGCACATCTTTTCTTTTGACTTAGGAATAGCCTTTAGCATTTGCGCTTCAATGAAACACTTGTTTATATAATATTCCCATCTTTCAGTATGCTATGTAGTCTTCTAAACTGTCAATCATTTTCCCCTCATATGTTTTGATGTAAGGCTTACTGTTAGGCTAATTTTCCAGAACTTATTTACATCAGTAATACCAGTAGTATTGACAGTTATCCAACCTATTAGGAAAAGTCTATACTCTTATGTCTCCCAACTCAGTATATGACTCTGTCTGACAACTTGTCTGTGGTGATTTAATTCATGAAATGCTCTCATCATACTCACAATTGTTTCTCACTATTGTCGTCATCCTTATAAATTTTCAGTAAAAGATGTTGTCTCGCAAGCGTCCGATCAGAGGCACGCCTGCGAACCAAAATCCTCTTCCTCCTCGACAGTTCGATCCGGTGATGTTTTAGACAGCTATAACCGCAACTGTGACAACAGCTATGGCCCAAATAAATTTTGGCGATGCAAGTGGATCCAGAATGGGCACCAACTCTAGACATGGTGAAATCCACTCTCATACACTAGGGTGTACCTATAAGGATTTCATGAGCTGCAAACCCACGTTCTTCAATGGAAGCGGAGGGATCATTGCATTGTCCCAATGGATCGAAAGAACCGAAGTCGTCTTCGAGATGTGCTCGTGCCCCGAGGAAAGCAAGATTAAGTTCGCTACTTGCACCTTCACCGAAAGGGCCTTGACATGGTGGAATGGCCATGTCAAATCACTCTCTTTGGTAACAGCCAACGCCATGGGCTGGGACACGCTAAAGGACCTTCTGACAAGGGATTACTGCCCTAGGGGAGAAATCCAGAAACTCGAGGAGGAACTCTAGAACCTTAGGATGAAACGGACCGACGTGGTGGCTTATACGGCCAGGTTCTGCGACCTGGTAACTATGTTCCCTAACATGATCCCCACTAAGGGCAAGAAGATTGAATGATACATCTGGGGTTTAGTACCCCGGTATCGAGGGAACGTTTTGGCATCACACCCTGCGACCTTTGATAGCCCCAACGAATTGGCCCATAGGTTGATTGATCATGAAGCTCCTTCCACTCCATCGATGATAACGACCATTGCTACTGCACCCATCAAGACATCTGACAACAAGAGGAAATGGTAGGACCGGAAGAAGGGCAAATCGACCCAATCCTCTTCAAAGAACCAACAAGTGGTCGTTGTCCATGCTACGACTACTCCTGTTGCCCCTGTGCCAACCAAAACATATGCAGGGAACTTGCTGTCACACCCCCAAACCAGAATGGCGGAATCGTTCGAGGGCGGATGACGTCATGTAGTATCGAAACGGTTGAATACATAGTAAAGAAAGAAACACAACCATCATATATATAATTTGAAAGTTCACATTGTAGAAAAGTACTTGTTTCAAAAGAAATTACAATATG